GGAACTGTCTTGCTCGTACAGATCTTTATTCATATCAATATTAAAACATTCATATAATGAAATGGAATTGTATGTAGAGCAGGGATCATGATTTGACAATATATGCCAGAGATGATCGCCTTTCCTGCCAAAATGACTGCAATAAGCCTCTGTCGGACATCAAGTATAGGTCCAAAAAAAAAACTCCACACTGTATACAATAACGTACAATAAAAATAATTCAACATCCCTGATGTAGGTCTATATATACTTACAGTAAAACTGTCTGGTCTGATATGATGGTATTTTGACTGATATTAAAGGCATTTATAAAAGCCTGAACGTTGGGTAAATACAGGAAGGCACCGATTCCATTGTTAACAAATAGATCAATCATATCACCAAATACAATAATCATAACAGGGAAGGCAGCACCGTGTATCATCGCAGCCAGACATCCAACTATCATTAATATTCTATCTATACAATCAGCATATCGAAACTACAAAATATACAATACAAACTTTAACATATACAAAATACAAAATATACAATACAATCTTTAACATATACAAAATACAATATTTACCCTTTTAAAATAAAAAATATACAATAATTACAATTACTTGAATGTAGATTTTTTTTGCGTTCATGAACGCAGAATTTTCACATGTTAATTCGAATTTTGCTACCGACTAAGCTATTACACTGCCACAAAGTTCTCAAGTAAAAATAGTAACAAAAGTTTTGCTTCAAATTACTGCTATGAATAGCTTTTATACGAGAGCCCAATCTTATAATAAAACTTCCATGCCTACAATTTACAGAGTCTTAATAAACTCAAAATAAAACTCCAGCCCCTCTCTTCCTCCACCCCAGAATAATAATACGATTAACCAATACTTACCATTGTCATGACACCAATTAGCTTCTGTGATTCTTCTTTCTTGCCATTCTTCACCTCTACAGACGAGCTGTCCGAAGACTTAGCGTGCCCTGAAATAATTGTATTGTTAATGGCCCTGAGAGAGGGCAATGTCTAGAATGAATAAACTAAGTACAAATCAATACACAAAACATTTCACATCCTCAGTTTTAACTCATATTTCAAGAAAAAAAAAAAAAATTTAAGATTAATGTGATAATACCAGAAACATTGTGTACTAAAGAAATAAATTGATACAATCAGTTATACACCTGTAATAGTTGCTTTAATCTCAGCTAAGTATGAAAAAAGGTTTGTAGCCCTATGGCTAGAAATCCAAAACAACTTTCTCAGAAGTTTATATAACTATACAGTCATAGCTAATCCAAGAACTCTAGCCCTACTTACAGGCTCCAACAGAGAGTTTTGATGAATGAAAAGGGTCAGAAAGAAATGAACATTATGTTAAAAGTCAGTGTGAGAAACCTACCTAAAGGATATCGTGGGTGACCACTTGAAACCTCTTATATGCTATATTTGGTCATTTTCACTTTTTAGTACCGTTTGAAAGCTCGTAAAAGCGCGGATCTTTTGATCAAAACCTTGTATTCTTAGCTTGATAACTCAAAAAGCACTAATTAATTAATTAATTTATTAATTAACACCTATATAAACAATCAGTTTAAAAACCTTGTAAAATATTATATTATACGAGGTTCAATGTTTCTGTGGATGAAAACGAAAAACCTCGTATACTGTATTATTATACCAGTTATTGGTTCAATAGGCCGGATTAATCAAATCGTTATATGAGGTTTCAAGCCGTCACTCATGATATAGAAGATAGTTTTGATAGATTGTCTACTAGTTAAAGAGAAATTACTATTTAGGTGTGCACCACAGTTAAAAATTTACTCATGCACACAAATGTCCGATTTAAAAGTAAAAACTGTGAATACTTACCATTCATATCAACAGGGTGATCCCTTGGCACTATCTTTCCGTTTCCTATAAATAAAATCATTAAAACTTTTCACTTTTCAAAGACAACTAGCTTTAAGCTTTTCTCGTTTTAAATTTTCAAATCACAAAAAGATTTATGGCTGACAAAAAATCTCTTTTTAATCTCTGAATCAATGAAAACTTTCAGATTATTAATTGAAAATTGTGTCAGATTATTAATTGAAAATTGTCAGATTATTAAATGAAAAGTGTGTCAGATTTAACCTTCAAAATACTAGCAGAGACATTTCTTAAAAACAACATAGGCCTACTTTTAACAGTGTAAAATATATAATATAATATATGTGAAACACCAGTGAATTAGTCCAGGAGTTATGTATGATTGTATCAATAATTAATAAAAATATATACCATGTGTTTCGATATCCATTTATAGTTAATAATCACAACTGGTGATAAAAATCCTAATAAGGTAAATTTGTAAAGGACATACCATACTACCGGGGTTAGTTATATTAACCAAGTATAAATAGTGAGCATGGTTCAATAGTCTATAGAGAGTCAAACAAGCATAAAATATAGCTTGTAACCCAATATTTGGCTATGTACGATATAACATTTAGATGTAAAGATATCATAGCTTGGGGGGGTCATACATTTAAAAAAAAAATGTGTCCTCTTTTGTCCTGAGGAGTTCTATATCCACCCCCTACCCCCCTCCCCCCTCCCCCTACCAACATCTGCTGGCTATGTAAATAAATTTAAAAGTAGCATTATAGGATAGTTAAGGAGTAATTTATTAAGCCTTTAAAAAATAATATTTGTGTCCCCACCGTCCCATGGGGAGCTTTATGGGCACCTTTGTCACCCTCGGAAAACCCCAAAATAAAATATCCAGATTGCATTATTAGTAGTAGATTACTTGTTTGATATACCAGTACACATAAAACATTGTTCACACCCAACTAAACACCAATTAAAGAGAGATAGATATAAATAGAAATATTTGCCTTCAACTCTTCAAACAGTTGAAATAGTCAGGTTATTTTTAGAGATGAGAAATTCTGACTAGGTTTAAACTATAAAAAAATGATGAAATAACACCAAGTGTTTTCTGGTAAACTGATGAAATCTACGAGTTACAATTGAGATCTTAGAGGTTAGAGTTTAGAGTTTAGAGTTTAGAGTTTAGAGGTTAGAGTTTAGAGTTTAGAGTTTAGAGGTTAGAGTTTAGAGGTTAGAGTTTAGAGTTTAGAGGTTAGAATTTAGAGTTTAGAGGTTAGAGTTTAGAGTTTAGAGGTTAGAATTTAGAGTTTAGAGTTTAGAGGTTAGAGTTTAGAGTTTAGAGGTTAGAGGTTAGAATTTAGAGTTTAGAGGTTAGAGTTTAGAGTTTAGAGTTTAGAGTTTAGAGGTTAGAATTTATGAAGAGTGCTGAGGGTATTTTAGTGGGATTGTAAAAAGGTTTTCAAAATTTTTAAATGTATCACCCGAATGTTAAATTTATCAACCAATCAAATTGCAATGTGAAACACGGAGTTAAACTAATTATAAAGAGGTTTTCTTAATTTTTTATGTGTATTAGGGACACTAATAGCATCAATTTACATCATTCCAAATTTTAGTCGGACCTCTGTGGTTCTTGCAATTCCACTAAAACTAAGATGGTGCAAATTGATGATTTCAGTCTCTGATACACATACAAAATTTAGAAAGGCTCTTTAAAATCCCTTTAAAGTGATTTTTGTATTCCAGTCATCTAATTGGTTCAAAATAATTTTCATTATCCAATCAGATGACTAGTATTATTTGAAATCTAAAGGCCTTGTGTAGAATGATTAAAAGAAATGAAATGGAGGTTTACATCCCTGAATTTAGGGAAGATAACTGCGCCTGTATTTCATCAATTATGATTTACAGCATAGAGTTTAGTTTTCAAAAGGCATGTTGTAGGGAAACAAAGTGAAAAGAGTACCAGTACATAAAAAAAAAGAAAAATTGACTTTTATGTCTGCGAACGAGCATTCAAAAATCGTAAGAAAGAAAATAGAGCTTACCAGACACACGCATGTTAGTTTGGTTTATAATTCTATATTCTGGTTTAATTCGTAATTACAAAATAGAGCTTACCAGACACACGCATGTTAGTTCAGTTTATAATTCTATATTCTGGTTAAATTCGTAATTAGAAAATAAAATGAAAGATAATATAGAGTTAAACATCTGCAAACAAGTCTCACAAATCTCTGATTTAAAATCATAAACCTTACCACTCATATCGGTGTTTTGCTGTGGACCTTTATTCTGGTTTAATTCATATGAGTTACCAGGCATATTGTCAGATTATTTTAATCCTGTTAATCCTATTAATCTGTTAATCCTATACATGGACTGGTCTGCTCTTTTACCTGTAAATAAGCAAAGAGATAAATCTTATAAAACAAAAATAATCAATCTCATATACAATATCAAATCTCAGGACTCAATCCATTGGGATGGCCTAGTCTGTTTTAGATTGGTGTAAACTGATTTTAGTTTTAATTTTGACTGATTTTTGATAAGATTAGATCTTGTTTAATCTATAGGGAACTTACATCATATGTTATAAGATTTGAACCACATTTATAAGTGAGGAGTAGATATCACAAACGCAAGACAATATTATATAATAAACACACATCTTGAATATAATATTAAACACATAATGTTTCAATACAAATTATAGTGTGGTTATCAGATGAAATGATGAGGATGATAACTCTTGTAACTTGTGCTCAAATGAAATATTAAACCCTGTGAAATCTCTATGACTCTGTTATTCAAAGTTGTTATATATTTTGTTATGTTATATTCTCTCATTATCTCCTCCGATGATGACACTTGTACTTTTGTGTAGAAACCTAATTTGTTTAATATTAAAGAAGTGTGTTTATTATATAATATTGTCTTGTGTTTTTATTACATCATATTAAAAGCTAAATAAGCTAGGTCACTGAACAGGAGCAAGACGAGAAAAAAATGAATATTCTACCAACAGTAGAAAATCTCAATTCAAATCTAGGATATGTTTGATCCCAATACTGAAAAATTCTTTTGAATTCCACATGACAGCTCACCGGAAACTAATGGTTGAGTTATTTCCCTTTAATAAAGTCCTATATAATTAAAACTCAACTTGCATGACATTTACGCTCGTAGATTAATCTAAGATATTTAGAGAAACTTGGTCTAATGTTACAACTGTTACGTCATCATTTAAAACAAACTGAATTCAAACATAACATCATTTTACTTCAACTGATGTCAATATAACCATGGTAACCAAAAAAAACCTACTGGCATTATATTAATCTTATATTTACATCAAATAGAGATATAAAATATGGATATTAAAGATGGGTTTTCTTATTTTTAAGTGTTAAATTAAGCAAACAAATGATCAATTGATCTTTCTAATGAATTATCATGTATTCTTTATCATGTTTATTACGTTTTTATAAAATGTACATGTATATACAGTCTGGATAAACAAAAAAATACTTTTTGACCTTTCTTGATCGGTCACTCATTGAAATTGTGATTAATTTTCCAGCCAATCTATTTTGATACAAAGACTT